CACACTCACACTCATGCGCTGGCCGGGCTTTCAGAATCTTGAATGGCATCAACACGGGCGTCGCTCAAGCCCACAAGAGCCCTTATCAGAGCATCGCTCAGGCGGACTCACACTGTGCGGGGAGTTTCAAATTGACATGAGCAACGCATGGAGCGATAGGACGAGCAAAGAGCACATGCAGATCGATCGGAGTGATCCTTTACATATGCCACAGCCCCGCGCTCTGCCCTGCCCCAGGCGAAGACCACTCGATCGATCGCACTCTTGACTATTCCCCGCGCGCAGCCAGCGGTGTGTACAAGGGTGTCGACCGAGCCCGCTTTGGCGTCTCATGGTGCCTATTCAAGGTTCACGCTTGCTGTACTCAACGCCTGATCATCCCTCCCAGCTGGAGCTGCAATACGATTGCGATTGCGAACTTTTGCATTGGGCTCCCATGTAATCTTCGCGGGGGGCATGCAGTTCGTGCGTTCTGATCGGTGAGGGGAAAGTCCCGGAAATGACAAGGCGCATGCATGGCGCGGTATCCTTGCAATCGTGAGTCTTTCGATGTGCAAACACATCATCACCCTAGCTCGAACCGACCCGACAGGGGAGCGCGCAGCGGCCAAGCTCAAACAATGTGAATCATCAGAACGCTCGCTCATTCACGCACACAACACAAACCCCGTCGATCGAGCCCGACCCGCGAATTCGCAATTCTCCTTCTCTCCATCGGGGCGCACACTACCTTAATTGCATGGGCATGGCTCACCTTGCAGCCCGATTCAGACTCCGTCCGCGTGCATGCATGCATGCATACAGCGGGTTTTGTTCTCCCCTTCATTGCTCTTCACGCGATGCTAACGACGACGACTACGACGACGACGACGAAAAGCTGGGCCTGCGCTGGGGATGGTGTTGGACCTGATTGCTAAGGTCAGCGCACGCATGAAATCCCATTACAGCTCCGTTGGTCACATGCGTGTGTACGTGGCATACTGTACCTACGCTCATCAACAGCCACTACGGGTAGCAGCACTACGAGATATTTATTTCAGCGTTAGCAGATCGACGCTTGTTTGCCTCGCAATCGCTG